CATTGTATCAGACAAAGTACAATTGTTCAGTCCTTATTATTACCTGGGAATGCTAGTGACTAACAGAGCAGAAAGGGCACAAAAGCTACAGATTTTCCAAGATCATTTAAATACTCTAAATGATTTTCAAAAGTTATTAGGAGACATAAATTGGACAAGACCAAAATTAGGTATTGCTACTTATCAATTAAAACATTTATATAACACTTTACAGGGAGATCCAGCTATTGATTCCCATTTTAGCTTATCTACTGAGGCTCAAAAGGAATTAATTTTGGTTGAAAAAATGTTACAACAGCATCAAGTTTTTAGAATAAATAAAAATTATGATCTTATCCTTTATATTTTAAATATTCCTCAGTCTTCCACAGGTCTTATAAGATAATTTTATGATAAACTAATTTACCCTATTGAGTGGCTTTAACTTTCTAATCAGTTAATCAAAACCCTGCAATTATATTTAGAACAAATTGCCAAGGTTGTCGCTATGGGAAGGATAAGATCCAAATTCTATGGTGCTGATCCTACTGTAATCATATTGCCTATTGATTTAAATCAATATTTGACTCTGCTACAGCAAGCTCTATATTGGCAAGTAGCATTTGCAAATTTTATAGGATAAATTAATAATCATTTTCCCAGTGATCCTTTCAATTTTTTTCTGAAGCATTCATGTATTATTCCAAAAATTACTAAATTTGAACCTATTTCTGATGCAGTAGTTTATTTTACTGATGGTTCATCAAAGGGCAAGTCCACCATTCCGAGTAAGGATTATCGACAGTTAATAGAGACTCCAGGACTCTCTACACAAAGGTCTGAAATTAGTACTATTTTGTCATACAACAGTTTAACTCTAAATCTATTAACATAAGTAGTGATTCTGCCTACACAGTCTATCTTACTTAGAGACTCAAGAGTGCCACCCTTTGGTCGATTTTAGATCTGCCTTTATTTAATTTCTCTCTCAGGCTACAAAAGGCAATTCATAATTAAACAGCACCCTTTTATATTGGTCACATAAGGTCACATTCTAATTTACCTAGATTTTTAATAATGGGAATCACCAAGCTGATTCATTAATCGCTTTTACTAGTCCTTTTGATGCAGCTAAACAATCTCATTCATACCATCATCGAAATAGTAAGGCTTTAACCAAAAAGTTTCAATTATCCAGGTCTCAAGCAAGACAAATTGTTATGTCCTGCCCTACTTGTCAAAAGTTCCTAGGCCTATGCCACAAGAAAGAAGTAACCCCAGAGGCTTAAAACATAATGATCTTTAGCAAATGGATATTACACACATTTCCTCTTTTGGCAAACAGAAATATAGTCACATATCTATTGATACATATTCTTATGAAACTTGCCACACAGGAGAAAAATCAGCCATGTTCAACAACATTGATTGTCAGCAGTTGCTTCTATGTGTGTTCCACACAGCATAAAGACTGACAGTGGGCCTCATATATTAGTAAACCATTACAATACTTTTTTCAACTATGGCACATTAAACACATTACAGGAATCCCTTACAACCCTCAAGGACAAGCAATTGTAGAAAGAGCGCACATATCTCTTAAAACTCAATTACAAAAACAAAAAGAAGAAATATAGTTATCCCCACAAGCACAGTCAGGTTTAGCCATTTTACTCTACACTTTTTAAATCCTGCTGCAGATAATAAATTGACCCCTGCAGAACTTCATTGGTCAGCATCCCATGATGATGCCCAACATAGGGCCCAAGTTCTTTGGTAGGACATCAACACAGGGAAATGGGAAGGACAAGTTCAGCTGATAATGTGGGGAAGAGGTTATGCTTGTATCCTAACAGGTGATGGATCCACAAGGTGGCCACCATGAAGGAATGTACAACCTTGGCAAGAGACATGACTGACTCTGGAGATAGTCCCTTATGATGGCTCCACTGATCTGAGCCCTCCAGAGGATGAGCCCATCCTATGAGGCTCGCCCCCAGGGACTTGCCAATCAGACAGGAAATCTACCACCAACCCCTGAAAATCTTCTGATTACCTTAATGGCATCACTGGCAGTATTCTATGTATAAAGCCTGCTTTAGGAGCATGGTATTGGATTTATGCTCCTAATCCACCATTTCTTAGACTCATTACTTGGGCAGATTCTCCACCTGAGATTTATCATGAACCAGAATTTACTGGCCCTAAATTAGATAGGCTTTTGTTTTGTTCAAATTCTTCTTATAAGAGATCTTAGCTAATTGACATATTTTTTAACAGTTACAAGTAGTGCTTTTATAATTACAAACTTAAAAAGATTATAAAAATGCCTATAATTCAATTTGGCCAAAAATATATTTGAGTGCACTCTGATTTTATAAGAAAATTGTCTTGTGTGTGTCTTTGTTTGTCTCTCTGTTCAATCTGTAAACAGCTGTTTTATTTGAGCTCAACAAATTTTTCTTCTTTTTATATTTTTGGATTTTTGAAGCATTTATCTATAATTTAATTTGGCTTATAGATAAATGCCATCTAGAGTTAAAGATATGTTACCACCGAGGTTGCCAGCTGGTCAAAATGATGTCAAAATTGGTTTTATAATTGTTATGTGTGTTGTTGCTTATGTATTATGATTTCAGAGTCTCTCATTATTCAAATTTAATGTGTGAAATATGAGATTGCATTTTCATGGGTTATAAAAATTTATTAAGATAATTAAACAAAATTCTCTTAGACAAGGAGAAACTGTTGGACAGGACTCCAATTGACGAATAAGGAAACAGCTGCCTGGAAACATTCTTCCAATACTTGTTCATTAATGGGAAGCCCCAATAATCTCCATAGCCTTATGGAAGACACCCTAATAAATAATGTTGTGAAAAAGAAAACATATATTATTGTGAAAAAGAAAACATATATTATTGTGATATATTTACATTGGTCAGCATCAAAAGGTTAAGTTTTCAAGAAATAAGTTAAATTTTCATTAAATACATTTAATGTGTTCATGTCTTCCAAATGTACATTATTCTAAAATGTAAAACAGGGATTGTTTGTACTGATAGACATCTACCTTTCTCTTGTGCCCCACATATTTGCAGTAAGAGGTTCATGTCAAGCCAAAATAAGGACATCAGTCAAATGATAATTTTAAGCAAAAACCTATGTGATATGTATGCTATGTGTTTGCAACTACATTTAGAGATGTTTAGATATTTGTAGGACTTGGTGGTCTCTCAGTGGTCCTCGGGAGAAAATGGTGAGAGGATTTAGAAAATAAAGACAAGAGATAATAGCTGGGGTCAGGTGGAGTTACCTCTCACCTGATAGGTAAGAGGACTGGCTTCAACAGTAGGGACATTTATTTTATGCTTTTGCAAAGTTAGTACCAGTGAAGGCAATGTTGCCTAGTGATTAACAACTGTAATTGTCCAGGCAGGATGCTTTTTACAATACTGACGTAGCTTGACTGCCTGAGGCACTCTTGCTCTGTCCTGCCCTCACACATATGATCAATATCCAGCTCCAGTGGCTCCCAACAAATACTGAACAGTCCAGACAATGTTACAAACTTCAATAACATCCTATTGAAGGACAACAAATCAGATAAAAAGCTTTTATGTATTAGGTAGAGATGACTGACCAAAAAGGTTATTCTATTCCAAGATGGAGATTTAAATGTGTTTCAAAAATGTCATCATACCTGTTATGTTATACTACAATGTACAGCTTTTGATTTCAAATTTTCTCTGTAAAACTACATAACTGTTGTATGTTAACATTCAATAGGGATTCAACTACCAGAACATCCTCGGTTGGTAAAAAAAAAAAAATAACAGTTCTCTGGCTATGCTTTGTATTTCAAGGTGCTCCCGCTACAATGTAATGTCATTAACCTTCTGTTCTGGATGTTCAACAAGTAAGAATTGGAGGGCAAAAATTACAAAGATAGATAGGTTAAGCAGATAGCCAATATTTTGGCTCTAGCCTTCTGAGGTCAATGAGGATACAGGACATAAGAAAACCACTGCTTCAACATCTTATAACTCAGTTGAGTCCCTGATTTTCTGATCAAGGGTCATAAGTATGAGGGCATTCATTTACTTCTGTTATTAATCTGCCTTTTACTTCTGTTCTTACATCTTTACATGCCTTTTTCTTCTGTTCTTAATCTGCTACAGGGAACACCAAACCTGACAGTGCTAGCCATGTTTTATCTGCTGTGATTACAAAAATAAAAAGGAATAATTGATGGAGACCACTATGAAGCAGACCTGAGCAGGACATAAATTAACCAATTGGCTTTTTATGTTTACTTGTGTATCTGTCCAAAGCCTAGGCCACTTGTCTGGAAGTGGGCAATGGACTCATAGTAAGTGAACCTCTGTGAGTTACTAATCCTTACTAAAACCTGTGGTGGTGGATGAACCCAGAAAACATCAAAGGATAAGACAAGATCACAGCCAAGGACACCTGGATCCAATCTCAATCAGATAATGGCTATAGCCTCAGGCATCTCACCCCTGGGTGGATTAACTTAATCCTTATTAAGGATTAATTTAATACCTTACTTGGAGAGGTCCTGGAGTAATTCCCCTCTTCTTGAGTGCTACCCTCCCTTCTTCTGATAACCAAATAAGTATAGGCCATCCAGAGAAGGTCTTGGCCTTAGCCCCCAGAACCTCAAATTTTGTGAGAGGGCTTTGATCCTCCTGGAGCCCTGAAATCATTCCATTTGCCTCTTTCTATTTAGCCTTCACTGTACATTCATTCAGGAGACTGTGGACATGATCAACCCACAACAACCAAGGTATATTATTAACCCAATATGAGGCCATTCTCAGAATGCAGAGATGAGTATGAAGCATAGTACCTTTCTTCTTCCCAGCCTCAGATTGACCCACTTCCCTTTTGCTGAGCCTAAGGTAGCTCTGTTGGTCAGCTTAGCCCTTTAGATCCTGAGAAAGAGTAGGCACAACTTGGCAGTAATAAAAGGAAGCCCAGATGTAGTTCAGACCTACCTGAGTTGGGCCTCCTTGGAGCACACCAAGGTGGGACAGGGAATTTCCAGAGGGCTCCTCCATAATGCAGTGTTGTAGGACATGGTGGTCTCTCAGTGGTCCCCAGGAGAAAAAGGTGAGGACATTTAGAAAATAAAGACAAGAGACAACAGCTGAAGTCAGGCAGAGGCCTCTTACTTGATGGGCAAGAGGACTGAACAACAATAATAGGGGCATTTATTTATACCCTTGCAAAGCTAGTATCATGAGAGACAATGTCGCCTACTGAGTAATGACTGAAATTATCCAGGCAGGAAGTTTTTCTCAAGACTGAGGTAGCTTGATGACTTGACGCACTGCGGCTCTGTCTTGCCCTCACACATATGACCAATTTCCAGCTCCAGCTACTCCTAACACAGTGTAAAGAAAAATGAAACCCACAAAAGTTCCACTTTGATTCAGGCTATTTGTGTGGAAGAGGTGAACATTAAGTCCAAGTCAGCAGATTTCAGCATCTCACTGGTCCCAGTTATAAATAACTGATACAATCAAGGTCAATGCTTCACTGTGGAAATAATTTGGTCCTTACTGGTATATATACCCCTGTTTTGTATTTTGGTGTAAGTATACACTGCCATGAGAGCTGGCAGGAGACTAAATGGCTGAGCACTACAGAGACTGTGTAGCAATAGCTGAGGGTGGCTGAGAACCACAAAGGTGGGCTAACAGCCGGAGGACTGCCACACCAGTGTGGGAGGCTGAGCTGAGAAGGTTAGAATAAAGGCATGTTCAAACATTTCCACAACTCTGTGTCTCTTCTTTAAGCTGCCCAAATCTCAAGTGAAACTTCCCAGTCTGAACTAGTGATAAGACATGCAGTTCTTTAACACTGCTATGGGAACCAACATGGACATAATATCTAGTAGTTATCTGCAAAGGCAATGCATCTTTAGACTGGCTCGTTAGGCAGGGCTGCCAATGTAGGCTAAGGAGGAGGACTTTACTCTGCTGGCAACGGGGAGCCAAGGAAAGTCTGGAGACATAGAGACAAGATCTGAGAACACTTCCAAAAGATTCAAGAGAGTGCAACATCACAGGGAAGGATGTGAGGAAAAGACTACATTCTTTAGTCTTGGAAGCAGAGAGTCTATAGGGTCTGCTGATCCCATCAAGGCCTCTCTCACCTATTCCCCATCCTTGAGCTCCACTTCCATTTATATGTGAAAATTGTAGGCAGTCTATCTGTGGGCCTCGATTGCAGCCATTACCAAAAGCCACACTATGAACAGTGAAGCTCCAACCCAACTGGTGAGAGCCAACCAGCCCACAGAAACTCTTAGCACCATGCTCCCTCTCAAGTATAGCTGCACACCCCCACCACTACCACCCAGCCTGAGCATGTGTTAACCCTGACTTAGCCTCAAAATCTAATCGAGCACATGTGTCTTCTTGTTTTGTACAAGCAACTAACCCTCCACAACCCCACCTTCAATTCCCACCTACAACTCCACCTCAAAGGGTAGAAATTAGAAGCCCTATCATTAGTTTAAAAGCCTGTAATCCCACAAAACCAAGATGTCAAAATTCAGCTCTTTCTCCTTTCAAGCATTCAGCCTAGTGACTGGGCTGCCATAGCAGCCATAACACCTGCAGCTCCCTCGTCCTCATCCACGTGAGCGGAACCAAAAGGTAAACTGAGTAGTGCATTTTGGATAGGTAGGATACAGGGATATATGGAACGCATGGGCTTATGGGAGGTGTAGGCCATGGGGAAGGAGAGCCACTGTCACGCTGGAGGAGCTGTTGCATTATGGGAGTCATAGTCAATGCAGACCCAAAGCCTTGTGGGATGTGTAGTCTCTGAGTCACTTTGGGGTTCGGATTCCCTATGGTTAGAGGTTTGGAAGTCACAGCACTCTGTTCTGCCCAAGTGAGTCTCCCTTGGGGTCCGGTCAGCCAGGGTTCTAAGCTCTGGGTTGAGGTGCAGTGGGAGGCTAGAAGGTCTCTGCGGTGATGACACTCCCCTGTGATTTCTGATGCGTGTGTCACACATGATGTCTCTCCAGCTCTTTCCAGGCCACTCCCTTCCCTTTGTTGGGCTAAGAACATCTGCTCTGTCCTGATGGAATATATCACACTGTCAGCCCTTAAGACAGGCTGGATTCTGGAGACATGCCTGGGTGTGTGCACTGTCTGGGGACACTTACAATTCCCATGTTCCATAGACACTGAGCACTGTCCCTGCCCAGCCCACCAAGAGCTCTCCCCGACTGCTGCCAAAGCCTATGTGCTGGCCTCTGGCTTCTCCCCTTTCTCCTGATAGTCTTCACACAGTAGCCAGAGGAATCCTGTCAGATCTCATCTCTTCTGTGCTCCAAGCCTTCCCATGTCACCTGTTACTCTCCAAATTTACCTAAAATTCATACCATGGCCTACGAGGCTCTATCAACTTGCATAGTCTTGCCTCCTGCAGGATTGACCTGTCTCAGGGTGTAAGAAAGGCCAGGCTCTCCTGCAAGAAACAACTCACACGATTCCAACAGAAGATTATTTTGACAATGTGGTAGAGATTGGGAGCAAGTGGTTGAAATTCTGGAAGATGGATCCTCCTTTTGTTCCTATCAACTTTTCTTGGAATTTTTCTTTCAAGGTGGGAGAGCATGTATGAAATACAGGTAAAGTGTTCATACAAAATAACTTAGTGGCTTCCAACAAAAACAAATAACCTCCAAGCATTAGGCCATGGTGAGCATTCCAGGACCACACACTTGTTCTGCCTTTTTTAGAGCCACAGTCCAATCCTTCCTGAAGAAATCCATTATCCCCGTTTTACTACTGTTTTCTTCCTTATATTCCAAAGTGATCATCTCAACAAACCACCTTGAAAACTCTAGCTTAGTACATATTTGTCTATGGTTATTTATTCAGAAACCTAGAGCTTTTTTCCACTCATTCTCATACATCTGTCCATCCAATATTATCTCCTTCCCATAATCTATAGCCTGTAGGAGAGGCAGTTGGCTGTGACATTTGAGGAAGAAGGCTCAAGGGTTTACTATGCATAACCACCCCCTATAAACACACACACACACACACACACACACACACACACACACACACACACACACACACACACACACACACACACACACTCACACACACAGAGGCAGCACTCAGTCACCCCTTCCTGCATGTTCAACTGCCATCTCATCCTGCAGCATTCCTGAGTCCCATTATTACAACAATACTCTACTCTGTCAGACCAATTCCAGCATGCTATTGGTCAGAGGGCTGAACTGTGACACATCTGTTTCCCACAGTCTCATATTTTTTTTAAAAAAGGGGAAAAATGAGAAGGAAAGACTTGAGAATGTTACAGAGAATTTCTCCACAAAAGAGGAACTTCAGAAACTGGTCAGGACAGCTGAGAGGCCCTCTAGGCCCACTTCCCCAATTTTCTGAAGTGGACCTGGAGGTCCAGAGTGCCAGATCATATGATAAGTAGGTTTGTGTCCCTCCTTAATTCCTTTGTTGAAATCCTAGCCCAAAAGCTGATGGTACTAGGTGGAGGAGTCCTCTGGGAGGTATTTTCATCATGGGGGCGGCACTCTCATGTATAGAATTGGTGCCTTTATAAAAGAGACACAAGGAAACTTGGTGCCTTGACATCACACAAGGATACAACCAGAAGGGACCTTCTCTGAGAAGGCACGCCCTCACCAAATACTAAATCTGACAGTGCCTTGACTTTGGACTTCCCAGCCTCCAGAACTGTAAGAAATCAATTTATGTTGTATATAATTTTTTTTGTATATATTATTCTATAGGTGTCCAAATGGACTAAGGAGCAAGTAAATTATTGGGGGCCACTGGAGCTGGATATTTGTCACATGTGTGAGGGCAGGACAGAGCCAGAGTGTCTCAAGCAGTGAAGCTACCTCAGTATTGAAAAAAGCAGCCTGTCTCAACAATTACAGTCATTAGTCACTAGGCAATATTACCACTCCTGATACTAACTTTACAAGAGTATAAAATAAACACCCCTACTGTTGAAGTCAGTCCTCTTGCTCATCAGGTAAAAGGTAAGTCCCCCTGACACCAGCTATTGTCTCCTGTCTTTATTTTCTAAGGCAGCTTGCCATTTTCTCTTGGGGACCACAGAGAGACCGCCAAGCCCCAGTGACACAGATTCCCTGTCTTATATGCCACTGTGTATGGGAAACCATTGCACCAGTCTTTGCACAGGACTGATTTGGCTCTGAGGAAAGACTTGTAGTCTGTTCCAAGGGATGAAGGAGGTTTCATTTATTCATTTAGAACCAGGTAGCACACTATTACACCATGACTTGAATTTTCCAGGAGAGAGACTCAAAGGAGAGGTGAAGTCCTCTCTGAAAGACAACATGTGGTTGGGATACCATCACCTGACAGTCTCAGTGCCACAGAATAGATGACCCACAGGGGAGAATCACAGACCAGGGATGGGTGGGATCTCCCTGTCCTGGAGTGAAAAGTGAATTCTTAGGGATGAATAGGCAGAGTGGACAGTGCACGAGTTTGAGCAGTCGTGATGCATGTGAGCTCCAGGGCTGACCCTTTCACTGTCTCACCACACAGCAGATCCCAAAGCAGGTCCTGAGTTCTGTGCTCAGTGTGTGGACAATCCCACTCTGCCCCAGCAGGAGTCAGAGCACTGCCAGCGGGGCAGAGGGATTCCCCTGCAAAAACCAGACTCTTGGTCTGGGGTTCTGTATTCTAGGATGACTGAGCTGTCTGAGATGCAGATGCAAGGTGAGTTCTGCCTTTGGAGACATCTGCATCTCTATGGAGGCACCTCACTGCAAGACAGAGACCAAAGATCAGCAGCTAGAGGGTGAACATGTCAGATGTCCCAAGAGACCCGAGGACCATGTGAACGGAGCCACCCAGCACATGGGGAAAATCTACTTTTCTCCCTTGTGCTCTGACCACCCTCAAGACTGTCCTGTGAACAATCCCAGACTGTTGTGTCCATTCCAAGAGCAGGAAAGGTGAAGGCTCTCTGCTGCCCTGCAACCTAGATATTCCCACTTGTTATGCTTGTATCTAGATGCTCCCAAGGGTGCTCATA